CCGGGGCGGGGGGCAGGAGACGGAGCCGCAGGCTGCCCGGGAGCCGGTGTGGGTGGAAAATGTGCTCGGCGGAGTCTGGCAGGGCTGACAGCGCCATTTGCTGCCGGGCACAGGCCTGGGCTGTCCCAGGCACTTGGTTTTAGTCATGAGGGCCTGAACATTGACTCTCCCCTCCTTTCTTTCTAGCACATGTTGAAAGAAGATGAAATGTTTAAAGACTTTGCGACTCGCTCTCCTAGCACCAGTATAACAGATGAGGACTCCAATGTGTGACAGTAACCGCCAGGCACTGACCAAGGCTCACTTTCCTATGTGCAAGAAACATCACCCTTATACATGACGGGCAGCAGATCATGTACATTACATTGCTCTTGCTTCTGTTTGTTGGAAGTAATACGGGGGAGTGGAGAATTTTAAAAAATAAAGGAGAGGGAAAAAAGGTGCCTACTCTAAAGTTGCCATAAGAAACACCCAGACACTGTTGAATGGTAGTTGTTTTTGTTATATTTAATGTACAAACTGGTGATACGTTTCAGAGTGTTGCATTTAAATTTATGTGGTATCATAGTGCTCCTTTTGCTTACTCACAACCACAGATAATCCTTTATACTGTTTCAGAGTAACGGAAGATGTTAGGTAGAAGTACTGTGTTTGTAGATATTGTGCATCAGCTTTCTCTAGGCTCTCAGCTGAAAAAAGATGTTACTGCTCTTTTTCAAGTGCATTGTTCAGCACAAATAGCAGTTCTGCCCTTCCTACAGTATCCAATGTAGGATTTTAGTTATCCCCACCCTGCATAAACTCCCCGGTGCTCTTAACTGTTCCTCTTATTTTTATACTGTTTTATAAAAAAAAAAGAAAAAAGTATATGAAGTACATATAAAAGCAAAAATTTAACTTTTGTGAGATAGAGTGATGGAAAGTTCGAGGTGTGGGGGAAGGGAGAGAGTTGTAAAAAAGATTATGCCAGCTTGCATACCAGCTGGTTACTGGAAAAGGCAGGCTGACCTTTGGAACTGGTTGCTTTCGTTGCTTTTCAGTGAGTGCACAGTTTAATGATCTTCCATTTGGGATGAAACAATTATAAAGCAAGTTTCTTCTAGCAGTGACTCGTATGGAAACTGCACATTTTAAAACATTGTCTTTCTTGTTGCCAGCAGCAGTAGTTATAGCATTCAAACAAGGTTATTAACACTTCTGTGACTTAAAAAAATTCTGTAAAGTTGAGAGTACTCCCTGTGTATGGAAGGGATATTTCTGTGCTGTGGCTAGTGTAAAGATGGTGTGGTTGCAAAAAAATAAAGTTATATAGAGAAATGTATAGGAAATGTATCATTTCATAATATTAAACCTAAGGTGGGACTTTTCCTGAAAGATTCAAATATTGAAAATGTTGCTCATCGTTTTATCTTCTTCAAGCGCAGCTCCTCTGCTTTTGAAGACCATCAGATTTTAATAATCCTAACTAGCCAGTGGAAATCTTCTGTCAGCCTTTCAGTACTGCAAGGTGTCCTCTCCAAAAGCAAACAAAAAAAAGTAACTCGTTTATTACAGTGGTCATTCGTATGGTGTTGAGCGTTGCATGTATTTTAGCACAATGGCATGAAGCTTCCTTGCTGTGTAAAGGCAAAAAAAAGTCCAGCTGGAATTGTTCCTTGCAGTGGTGTGTTGTTTTGCCGAGCGTTTGTCACTTGTTCCACCCCTCTCCTTGCTGGAAGTGAGACTGTTTCTGACACATTGCTGGTGTGGTGCAAGGGATGTGAGATTTGTGCTGACTTTGTGGGTATTTCTGAAACACTATTGACAAAGCTAGGAAAGTCAAAAAGGTTCTTTCAGGGCCTTCCAGGGAGCTCCCATTGGATGCTGGGATAGATTGGAGACCTATGATTATATTATTGTAACCTGATAAGCTGTTACCAGCCTGGTTCTTTGAAGGATGTGCAATGTAGGCTATTATTGATGTACCAAGGTGAAAAATCTGATGTGGATCGGTTGTGTTATACATAACATCAAGTGCTGCCATTTTCTCTTTAGTATCTGGAGCCAGGCACACAGCCCATAACATATATAGAAAATAGTTTCTGCTGCTTGCCATCTGTCTACAAACAAATCACAACTGACGCTTTATTCAAAATTCGTGACTCGGTAACATCCGCAAATAATTTGCCGTCTGTTGTTTCTTCCTCTGCAGTCTTGGGGGTGTTGGGGCTGTTGTATTCAGGCAGAAACACCACGCTGGGTAACGCCTGCCGCCAGCCTTCGGGTGCAGATGCTCGGGATGTGAATTCAGGGCTCGCTTTCTGCGAGGGCTTTGCAGTATGGTTATTTTTAAACGTCGAAGTTGGGCTTAAGACCCTGCTGTTTCAAATGCTGCAAGAAGCACGGGGCAGATGTGGTGCCGGCTTCTCAGCAGAAGTGTTCCTCTAGATTCACTCTCACTAGGCGCCAGCTAGTGAACCTAACAACTGCATAGTCACAGCAAAAAAAGGGGGGGGGGGCTAGTGGGCTAGTGACACAATATTATGTGCTGAAATAGGCACAACCAAATGCTTTCTGATTTCTCTTCAGTCCAGTACTATTAGCAGGCGTATTGGCAAAGGCAGAGGATGGTTTATTTGAAGTCCAGTGTAAGTAGCATTCTGCTCTGAACAACCCTTTTCCTGCATTTACCAGTTGGAATCCAGGTCGTCCCTTCGAAACTGCTTGTCGTCTGAACCTTCGTTATCTCATGGGGGTGGAATATGAAAGTGAGTGATAAGTCGGGAAGTGAACTCATGTGCGCGTGTGCACACAGCTGATACTGTTGGTGTATTTTAATTCATGCATGTTTGAAGAGGGCAGCAGAACCACTGTGTATTGCCATGTAAAATCCAATAAAGTCTGTGGAAAATGCCAGGTGTTCCTGGAAGTTGGTTCCTTTTTAATGTATCCTCTTTTTTTTCTTTGTATTTTCCTAGGAAGCTCGTTTCATACTATTCAAAAGACAAAAGAGGGAGAAGGGGCAAAGAAGCAAATTTTTTGCAGACTGATTAGTTTGTTTGTCAGTAGTGCCTGCAGAAAGACTCAGCTAACAGTGAAAAAATCAACTATCCCAAGTGTTTTTAGTGATTTCTGGGATCCAGATTTGAACCAGCTTGGGTTGTTTGGTATGGTGTGATTAAAAAGTGTTCCCCATTGCTCGGTGTGTGCTCCTCGGCGAGTCCTCGCAGGGTGCCAAAGGGCGGACCAGCTGTGGTGCTCCTGGCTGTGAAGGGCACCCGTCTCCCTGGTCCCGGGTGTCATCGCCCTCGCCGTGCCCTCACAGCCCTCGGCAGTCATCAGAGCTGCACCGATTTTGCCAACAGGAGTTGAGCTTCCCCAGACCCCATTTTGTTGCTGGGGTGCGGGTACCAGTGATGATCGCTATTTTGCCCAGCATAGCCCGGGTAACAGCCCAGAGAATGCAGAACCCCTGTCTCGTGATCTTCATTTCTGTGGTTTTGTTCCTCAGCACGTTTCAGTGGGAACACTGAGGATAAACACTCTGAAACCCGGAGTGTAATAAACTTTTGTTGTCCATCTGTTTACAGTGATGGCGAAAAGATAGATGTGTATCGATCAAGAGCCTGTGGAGATTAAAGCCATCTTTTTTCTGTTCGCTTGAATTACGTATATGCTTAGGAATGGAGAAGTAATACGGAATAACCTCTGTAATGACTCTTCTGATTCCCATGCACTAGGTATGGTGCCATTCTGGCTTTCCCTTCAGGAGAGAAGTTGCACTTACCCTGTCTGCATGCTTTTTATACCTTGCACCGCTTTGTTGTTATGAATGTTTAGTGCAAACATTATGCTTCACCTTAGTATTTTGGCATTTTCATTTGCAGCAAGAGCTTTTCTCACCGAGCCTCTTTATCCTCAGTTGGGAGGAAGAAAATAGCGCTCCTTGAAGCAGCAGAGAATCAAAAGCTACCTAGGTTGCCAGTAGATTTGGAGCAGTGGTCAGCCAGGAGAGAGTATTAGGTGCTGGGGAGCCCTTGAATAGAAAGGAAATCAGGGGTACGGTCAGAGGTAACAGAAGAAGCAGCAACGTGCTCCCTAAGAGCTGTGAGAAGGTCACGAAGGAATGGAGATGGGCCCCAACACATTTGAAAACTGTGGAAGAAAAGACATGTAATATGTAGGGCATGATCTGTTTCTTAGAGAGAGGGACCCGAGGGCAGCAGCAGGGCTGCCCAGCCCGTGCCCCTGAGAAGTTGTTTCCCTGGGGTGGCAGGAGCACATCAACATCTGTAGGCAGGAGGAGAGAGACATGAAATGAAGATGTTTTGAACAATGAGAGTAAAGGGGACAGAGAAAGACAGATCCTGGACACTTTTTTCACTCATTCAGAATGAAGAGGAGGAAGAAGAACAGTGTTCAGCAG